TGGAGCCAGGAAGCAATGCTCAAGGTAAGGAGCGAAGGTCCCCCAAAGAGAACCACAGCTCCCCTCAGCAAGGACAGCAAGGACCTGAGCCCCCCTGTGGAGGAGAACAGCTGAGTTCAATCAGGAAAACCAGCCTGACAAGCTTCTCCAGGGAAATGAGCTAAGCACCACCTTCCCCTCCAGTTCTCCTTTTGAACTGCTGACAACAATCCTCAGAGGGGCCTTCCACACCCAGCACCATGCTGACTGGGTTCAGCTGGGTGTTGTAAATTAACCATTAAATTAATCATATAAATTAATCTAGCACAGGGAGAAAACGGGGGCATGTGTGTCTTTAAGCCAAAGAACAAAAAGAGAAGCTGAATTACAACAGAAGTAGACAGAAACAAGCCCAAACATTTCAGTAATCCCAATAGCCAAGAGGACCAAACTCACTGATTAAGAGAATTTCAGATTTCATAGCAGGAACAAAAGTTGGCTATAAACTGAAAAGAAATTGCTTAAACTATATGAACATAAACAGTGTTCGTATAGTTCACTTAAAGTGAAAGGGTGGAAACATGATAGCCATACTAAAAATCAAAAGGCAGCCAATATAACTTTGATAAAATACATCTATCTTTTTTTTTTTTTTTTTTTTTTTTTTTTTTTTTTGGTCTTTTTCCTTTTCATCGGTACCAGGGATCGAACTCACGACTGCCTGCTTGCAAGGCAGGCGCCTATGCCGCTGAGCTAAATCCCCAGCCCCCAAAATACATCTATCTTAAGACCAAGGTATCATTAAAGAGAAAAATCAGCCCATGATAAAAGGTTAAACTCACCAAAAAGATGGAACAAGATTCTAAATTTGTATGACACTAATAAAATTGCCTCGAACATATAAAAAGCAATAGGACCTTGGGAGAAATTAATAAATCCACCCCTCATTTATCATTAGGAGGTCTGACAGGAGTCCAGCAAAGCAGGGGACTGAACAAGAAATTACCAACCCAGACACAACAGATAGAATACCGAAGTCTACATCCAATGATGAGAGAACTTTTTTCAAGTACATAGAAAAGAGTCATTACAAACCACCACTCTACCTGGTCATAAAATAAGCCTTAGCAAATTTCAAAGAACAAGCATTCTTTGCTAACATTCTTTGATTGCCATCCAATTAGAATTTAATAAAATATGTTAAAATTCTTCATTTTGAATTAAAAATACCACTTGTAGATATCTTATGGATCAAAGAACAAATCAAAATAAAAAATTCTAAAAACTAAACTATGAAAGCAACAGGTAAGGTGAGAAACAAACACAAATACAAAAAAAGGAGCTTCAACACATCCACAAGCCTTCTTGATGAAGACTGGCAAATATACGCTAAAAAAAACAAAAAAAGAAATAAGGCACAAAGGGACTTTAATAGGGACAAAATTACAAGAAAAACATTAAGAAAATCCCATGTCATACTAATAAATATTAAGAAATAATGACAAAGAAAACCCAAAAGATTTACCAAAACTTTGCATTCTAAGGATGCAAGGTTGGCTGAACATACACAAATAAATTAATGTAACAGGACACATGAGGAGAATGGTTCACATCTAGATGTCTCCCAAAGCCTTATGCATTCAAAAGGGGGACTTCTGACAGGTGACTGGACTTTGGGGGTGCACAGCTGACTCGCCGTTAGGAGGTGGGGTGCGGCCAGGAGCTGTGTCTCCCCATCCTGGGCTCTGCTTCCTCTCTGCTCTGTCCCTCTGCCATCCGATCCTGCCTGGCAGCCCACTAGTGGACTATGGTCTGAAACATGAGTCCAAATAGAGGTCTCTTCCCTTAAGCATCAGTTATTTCCCTTGTTGATGGGACAAACACCCAAGACAAAAATAGAAGTTAAAAGTCACACGATTATCTCAATAGATGCAGAAAAACCTTTGATAAAATTCAACCCTAAATAAATTAGGTATACAATGGGTAATAAATTAGGATAATAAATTAGGTATGCATGTCAACATCATAAGCGTGATATACGACGAACCCACAGCCAATATTACACTGAATGCATTTCCTCTAAAATCAGGAATGAAACAAGGCTATCTATTCTCGCCACTTTTACTGAATGTATGGGAAACTAGCCATAGCAATTAGGCAAGAGAAAGAAATAAAAGGCATATAAAAAGGAAAGGAGGAAGTCATCTCTTTGCAGATGGTGATTCCATACCTAGAAAACCCTCAAGAGTCCGCCAAGTCTCTTAAAACTGAAAATCAAATTTAGTGGAGTGAATACAGAAACATACACAAATCAGGTTTTCTATACAAGATTAATGAACTTGCTGAGAAAGAAGTTGGGAAAACAAAGAAAAACCTAAAAATGAACCTAACCAAGGAGATAGATGATGTCTACAGTTACAAAACACTGAATCTCCCTGTAAACAAAATACCAGGCATACAGAATCCACAGGCTGAAACCCAAACATGCAGAGATGTGCTAACCACCTATTTATATAAGTCTTACAGATACGACAACCCAACTTATTCTTTGATGTTTTTTTTTTTTTTTTTTTTGTCTTTTTATCAAAGTCATGACTGCCTGCTTGCAAGGCAGGCGCTTATGCCGCTGAGCTAAATCCCCAGCCCCTCTTTGAGATATTTTAATACCAACATCAGTTTGGTTAAATGTAAGGAAATGTAATTTCACCCATGTGAACAGATGCAAAAATCTGAACAAAATACTAGCCAATTGGATTTAACTGGGCATAAAAATATTACCAGCTCATACTGAGCTCACTCCAGGTATAATGTTAGAAAATTTACAGACGTCACCCATAATCGAACCCTATAGATCATCCTGATATCTGCAGATAAATTAAACTTAGTAAGCTGGGAGGAAACTTCGCTTATCTGAGGGAAGTTATGTGAAAAATATAAGAACCAATATTCTAAATGGGAAAACGCTGGGAGCATCCTTTGACGCAGCTGTCCGACACCATACACGTGCAGTCCTGGATATAGCAATAGGACAAGGAAAAAATTACAAGCACACAGGAAATAAAAACTAACAGACAACACAGCATTGATAAAGCTGGCAGTGGACTGAGTAAAGAAGAATGTATTAACAAAAAAAAAAATCAGAAAATGTACTTTAAAAAAATACTCTCAAGATCTTATCAGGAAATTGAGCTCAGCCCAATGGTTAAAATAAAGGGATTACCAGGAAAACACTGCACACAAGAGTGTGTGGAGGGGCTGACAGGCACCAATGCACAGCACAGCACTCAGATCAGCAGTGGTGGGGACCTATCACCCCATTCAGGGACAAAGAAACGGAGGGCATTAGGCAGGAAGCCACTGGAGAGGAGGGGCTGCTCCATGGAAGCGCTGGTGTCAGGAATCCAGCTGTAAAAAACACAGCATCAGCGGACATCTGTAAATAAGGACTCCACAGTGTGGTCCCTGAACAAAGAGGCACATGGAAGGGGAGTGGGGTGGGAGGCCACGGGCAAAAATGATGCCAATTCTCCCTCCTTCAATGCAATTAAAGCCCCCGGACTGTGCATGGTACATGGTAAACTCATACTGAAATTCACAGGAACAAGGCTTAGTGTAACTAAGACACTGGTGAGATCAATAAGACCTGCCCTCCCATAATGGACTTACTAAGTGATGGTCATGAAGGACAGCATGAGATTGGCACAAAGACCAAAGAACAAAGCAGGGCCTGAAACAGATCGACGCTCACCTGGCAGATTTATGGAGGAAGTGGGAATCGCTCAAGAACCAACCAGAAAAAATGGCCATCAAAAGGGAAAGGGGATTATTAGAAAAGAGGAAGACGGGGGCGGGAAGGAGGGCTTAAGCCAGAGGACAGGATGGCTAGGTCAGAATACGTTATATGATATATGAAAATACCGTAGGCTCAATAAAAATGTATTTTAAAAAATTGGAGTCCTAAAAATCATTCAGACAAGCTAAGGACTTCATGTAAAACTAAAATTTTTAGTGGAAACCCAGATGGTTGATCTGGTCTACTAGGATTGGATGTTTCATCAACATAAGATACAAAAACAGCAACAGTCAAATACTCATACATTCAAGAACTGCTACTGTTCCAAAGATTCATACAATGTATAGCTTTTTTCCCTTTCAGGGTAGGAGAATGTATTTGCAACACACACAGAGAACTTTTACAAATCAACATGAAAGGACTGCCAAATAGAAAAAGGTACAAAAGACAGATAATACACCAAGAAACACATACAGCTGGTTACCATGCGAAGAGATGTCTGAATTCCCTCTTAAACACAGGAATACGAGAGCACAATTTTATACTTCTTCAACCACAAAATCAGTGAGTGTTAAGACGTCGTCCAATAGGATCTCTTAGAGTGTAAGTTGACACAATCACTTTAGACAGGTCACACAGTCACCCAAAGTTAAATATTCGTCCATACTGTGACCAGCAATTTTGTTTCCGGAGAAGGTCTGTGCCAGGTGGTTAAAGTAGGATGGCTCACAAGAGCCAAAAACTAGAACTGACTCGGGTGCTCAGGAACAAGTATAATACAGTGAGGGAACAGGAGCTCACAGAGAAAAGGGAACAACTGTAACATTAGGTCACAGGCATGAATTTCACTGCAGCTGAGCTGGGCATGGTGGTGCACCATATGCAACCCTGGTAGCTGAGGCAGGAGGATTGCTTGGGGTTCACAGCTGGGCCACACAGCAAGACTCTGTCTCAATCAATGAATGAAAGAAATCCTTAATGACTACACACAATGTGATATTAATAAAGTTTTCAAAAAACACTAATTTTTATAAAACAAGAGAAGGATAAACCAAATCAAGGAGATGGCAGGGGTGAGGTGGGAAAGAGACCACGATCAGGAGGCCAGAAAGGTGGACAAAAGTTGCCTCCAGTGTTCTTAAAAAAGCAAAATAAAATGGGGAAAGGGGGAGGGGGGAGAGTGGTCTTCATTAGGAATTAAAAACTTTAAAATAGAAACCAGACAGTCTCGTGTACCAAGGATGATTTAATATGATCCTATGCAAATGGGGCCCATACAAAAACAAAACACAGAACAAAAACAAAACCCCAAAACAAACGCAAAACAAAACAAAAAAACCCACACCAAACCAACCAACCCAAAACACTTCATGCCTTCCAAAATCTGTCAACAGCTCTCCCTGGCATCAAATTGCTCAGGAGATCTAAATGGTGGGACCTGGCCACTCCCTACAAGGAAAGAAGGAACCGGCTGCAGCCCTGAGACTCGGGTCAGCCCTCTCTACAGGAACCAGTTAATCTGGAATTAGATCCCAGCAAGGCTCTGCAAAGTCATCGGACACCAACACAGCACCTGTGTGTGTATTCAGTTCCCTCTCCCTTTGTTCTTCTGAAAATCTCCCTCACCTGTCCGGTGTGGCAGCTGTCAGCCTCTGAGGCTCTTGGAATTTGAAAAGTACTAAAGTGCTCCTTGGTCACATTAGTCCTGGGGTAGGTGACAGCCATGTGTGGTAGAGGCTGCTGAAAGTGACCACAGACACACAAAGTCCTTGTGGGCAGCACTATCTTAACCCTGTGTCCCCCACATCCGGTGACTGTACACTGGGGAGCCAGAGATGCAAGCCCCCTGGGGACTGCATACCTGAGGCTGCTGCAGCTTCAGACAGGGATGGAAGGGACCAAAGGGCACAGGACTGCAGGCTCCAGACCACCAGCAAACTGTGACCTTTTCCCCCTGTCTTCAAGTGAGAGCCCTCAAACCTCACCTGGGACAGTGGGGACAGGTGTGAGCCCATCCCCATTATGACTTGCTCTCTTCCTTCCCCAGCTAGTACCCACCTGTCCTCGGGACACTTCTGCTATGAGTTGGCCTCTCTGAAAGGACCCCAGGGGCTGCCTGAGAAATGGCCAAGGGTTCTGCAGAAGTTGAAGGCACTGGAGCTGCCATTCTTCAGAAGCTCCAGGGGAAGGTGGCTGGGTTCCGAGGCAGTTCAAGAGCAGGTCACTGGGCAGGTCCTCATCCTAACCAGCATCTGCGTGGTGACCACCCTGCCCATCCCAAGTTGCTAGCCAGAAGCAATGACCACGTCACAATGCAGCAGGAATGGTCCTTACAGAGGCCAGTCCGGACGAGAAACCTGCAATGTCAGGTGTCCCCAAACACTCACATATGGAGGACCTGATCCCACACGCTCCCCAGTGTTCCAAGGTAGAGTCCGGAGAGGTGAATGGATCAGGAGGGTGCTGATCACATTAAGTAAATGGGCTAGTTTTAATAATTTATCAGTAACGGATTAACCCACTGAGGAGTTCACAGCAGAACCGGATGTTAGGAGCTGGGGCCCAGCTGGAAGAAGAGAGTCACTGGGGGTGCACCTCAGAAGGAGCACTCTCTCCCTACCTCTTCCCCTTTCGGTTTCCTGGCCGCCATGAGGTGAGCAGCTTCTCTCCACCAGGCTGCTTCTGCCTTGGAGTCAGCTGACCGTGGATTACCAATAAGCCTCAGTAAACCTCTGCTACCTTGCAGAGAAAGTGACAGACACAGAAAACGAGACAAGGAGCTGAAGGCTGGAGATCCTATCTGGCGCAGCTTGGAGGGGGCAGCCATCAGGAACATGGAGCCTGGCTGTGCTGATTCTGACCTGTCTGTCAGTCCTAGGGGCTCAGGAGCAGCCCGAAGCTCTGCTGAGCTTCTCCCCTGATGAGCACCTGCCACAGCAGGTGGGGTGCATCCATCATTTCCTTGGGGGCAGGGGACAACTCTAAGGGGAGCTATTGTCACTGCCCTAAAGCTTAGGACAAACTTTAAAAGTGGCCTTAGGGCATGCTACTAGCAGGAGACACAGCTGGAAATTCAAACAGAAGCGCTGTATCCCTTACTCCTAACACTGTACGTGGACACACATTCATTCATGCATTTATTCATTCAGCAAATACCAGTGAGCACCAAGTATGTGCCAGGCATGGTTTATGAGTTGGGGGCACAGTTTTGAGCTCACTCTGCCCCAGCCACCTCCAAGCTTTTGTGCCAGTGAAATGGACAGACAAAGCAGCACACAAGCAAACAGAGCCAGGATGAGAGAAGGGTTATAAGTTAGGGTAAGGAGATGGAGCCGGGGTCCTAGTGTCAAAGTTCCGGACAGCGAGCATTTTCCACTGTGCCAGCAGCTCTGCAGCGTGGTCTGTGCTACAAACCCCTCCATTCTGCAAAAGCGACAGTGAATGAAAATGCAAGGAAACAGGTCGGCTCTGCTCCCAGGAAGCTTCATTCAGACACAGAACTTAGGGTTCCATGTGTATTTCTCCTGGTACAAAACGGTTTTCTCCTGCTATTTTCCCATGATTTAGAAACAGAAAAGTCATTCTCAGCTTCAAAGTCAGAACAGGTGGTGACCCAGATTTCAGCTTCAGGGGCGAAGACTGAAGGGGGTAAGTACACGGGGTGCACGTTAACACAGTGACAAGGGGAGGGATCTCACGGAACAGATGAAGTGGGAGCACAGCAGAGACAAAATGGAGCACCACAGCCTGACTGGAGATGAGGAAGGAGGCAGAATGGTGGACAGGAAGTTGCCAAGGACAGCAGGAGCCTGGTTTAGGTCAGCTTCCTGGTGAGGACTTGGATCTCACGTGACCCCAAGTCTCTGGTGCCCAGCTGGATGTGGCAGTGAAAGGGAGGAGGGGTGACACGTGTCCGACTCACCCACGATGTCCACCACATCCCGCCGGATGAGCGGCTCTCCCCCGGTGAGCCGGATCTTGTCAACACCTTCTTTGACAAAGAGCCGGGCCAGAGTCAGGATCTCCTCTGTGGTCAGCAGGTCAGCCTTGGGGGTCAAGGGGACGCCCTCCTCAGGCATGCAGTACTGGCCTGGCCAAAGGGAGGGTTGGAAAGGGATGAGGAGGCAGGAGATGGGCACAGCAGGCAGGGAGGCCTGGAGTTTCCCTGAACCCTGTCCAGTGGGCCAGGAGCCCAATCTGAGTCATGCCAACCTGCACAGGACCCTTCTCTCCGCATGGGGAGCAACCCCCCTCCCAGATCTGGCCTTAACCTCTCCCCTTGGGTCAAAGGTGATGAAGTAGGCGGACAGTGGGGTCTAGACTAGGGCAACGATGCCAAGACACTGCTCCCTCAGCTCAGGGCAACTGGGCAGGGCCCTGGTTCCATGCCTGCTGGCAGCGTTCATTCTCACTCTGAGCTGCAGCTGCTCCCTCTCTGGCAAAGCCAGGAGACAAAGGAGGTCTTTTTCGTCAGTCCCCTGTGTAGCCACAAGTGTCCTAAAATCTGTCCCCCTCTGCTGCAGGTTACTATCAGTTCTGCTCTTTGTTTAAGTAAGGGAGCCGACCGGGGTCAACAGGCCAGGCAGCACCACGCCTTCCAAACTACTTCCGGGGCAAGGGTTAGGTCACGACCTGCTAGAGTCAAAGTCAAATTGGCATCCTGGGTCCAGAAATCGACTCTTGAGACAATGTAGGTGAGTTTTATTTGATTAACCACTTATCAAACACAAGTGTGTTTACTGGCCTATGAAATAACTGAGCTTCGGGTAAGGTGTACTGGAAGGGAAGGAATGGAGGGAGAGGAGGAGGAGGAGGGGGAGAGGAGCAGCGGCTCTGGCTCTGCAAGCCCACCTAAGCAGGGCTACACCTGAAGTGCTCTTTGCCTGGGGTTACATAACTCAAGCCCTCTGTCCTAGGACTGGGGCTTCTATGGCTCGTGGTGGCTACCATGGGCACTGCTGTGAGGATCATATGTTTATATGTCTTCTGCCCCTCCAGTGGCCTGGTCCCTGAAGGGAAGCAGGAGCCCTGCAGAGTGAGAGTCTAGGACGCAAAGTTAATCCTCAATCCAATGGTAATTCTGTCCTCAAATCTAATCTCCAGCAGGACTCAGGGTTCAGAACCCTGAAACTCAACCTCGATACACCCATCATCCTCGGGGCAAGGCAGGGGCAGGTGTGAAAGTCGTGGGAGGCAGCAGCTTTCTAGGCATGAGCAGCTCCCAGAAGATACCTGAGTCAACAGAAAGCCGGTAGCCCGGGGCAGCCCAGGACAAGCCACTCACATCTGAGGTTGCACTTCTCAGTGAGTGAGATCCGGAGGTAGCTGTGCTGCCGGCCGAAGCTATCCGTGAGGAAGGCGGAGAAGGGGGCTGTGTGCTCGCGCAGGAACTGCCACCGCTGCCTGGACAGCTCCTGCAAGGACAGGGGCAGGAGTTGGGGGAGGCCCCGGAGATGGGCTGCGGCAGGATGAGCTGTCCTTTGACATCCTGACAACCCTTCTAAACATCCGGTCAGTCTGGGCCCTGAGATCCTGGGGAAGCTGGGACTGGCCCTCCCGCCCCGCCAGCAGACTGGGAAATAGGCCCACCTCCTAGGACACAGCCAAGGGTGGGGACCTCAGGCTTGGCAGGGCAGTGGAGGGATGGGCCCATGGGAACTCGATTGATTCAGTCATTCTTTGCTCCACCTCGTCCCAGCAGGAAGGATTAGGCACCCAGTGCAAAGGAGGAGACATGGCCACAGGCTCTGGGAGGTCCCCAGAAATCCCAGTTCATGGCCTATTTCCATCAGCAGCTATGTGCAAGGCAGACCTTTGTTAATCACCCCAAACCCCACCCCTTCACTTGCCAAGATGTCCTCCTCACCCCAATTTAGCACATGAAGCCCAGTGACTGGGTAAGAGGGCAAAATAAACCCAGGAATTGGGGAAGGTTGAGAGGGTCAAGATAACTCGGCAGAAACCGGAAAGCACTCCTGACCAAGGAGTGGTCTCTATAATTAGACACTGGTTTTGAACATCCTGCTCTGGACATACGGTTCTGGACATTCAGTCCTGGACACCCCAGCCCCATCTATAGCACACTTGGCTATACCAAGTCTCAGCCCTCCCACGAGCCTGCTTCCTCCTCCCTCTAATGCTATACATCCTTTCATTTTTTTCCCTTTTTTTTTTGATCTCCTGGAGAAAAAATATTCACCCCAGTTAAAGGAATCCAGGGTCCAGAGGGAGTTCACAGGAGGAAGCCACTCCACTCTCTCAGGATGGGAAGGGATCTGTAAGGTAGCAGAAAGCTCTCAGGGCTCTAGCCTGGACCACGTGGGAGCTGTCCTGCCTCTGTCTCCTTCTCTGTCGGAAGTCACCCTGCCTCAGCATCCCCAGCGTGCAGCACAGTGTTGGTCCCAAGTGCTAAACCACTGTGTCAAAGAACATGCAGACCTGCCTGCCTCTAACCTAATGAGGATCAGAAGTGACACAGAATCCATCACGTTCAGGTTATCAAAATGATTTAGTCCAGGACAGGTTCTCGAGCCCAGTGGCACCCAAAGAGCTTCCACTTCCAGGAAGAGTTGATAACAAAACTCATCCCAAAGATGGACTTGGGCGAGAGCCTTGGCTCCCCACTCTGCAGCCAGGGCTGAGCACCCCTGGGCCCGGGGATGCCAGTATCGGGTGCTATTTTGTGGCAGTGGTAGAAGCCGGGTTCTGAGGACAGGCTTTGGAGCCCGTAAAGCCGCAGAACACACCTGAATCTCAGCCTTTGTTTCCTCACCTGTGTAGATGATAATCCTAACTCCACCAGAGTCCCTGACACAGCAGATTCCAGTTAAGTCAACACTGCTGCTTCCCCAGTATAATTACCACTTATGTGAGTTCATTCATTGAACGAATATTCATGGAGGAAGTTTGTGCTGTGACGAGTTGTCCTACTTCGCGTTGATTTCCCAGCTCCGCCACAGCCTGGCCTTCCAAGCCTACAGACGGTAGATGGCCTGTGGCTGGGCATTTCAGACCTGCTGCCACACTACCAAAAGGCTGGACAAGTGGTTTTGGAGTCCGAGTTCCCCAAATCACTGCTATGAGTGCTACAGAACCTGGCACTGGGCAGCCTGCCACCACATGCTCTGGGTTCTCTCATCCAACCATGCCCTCTGGGGGACAGGGAGTGGGGAAGGGAGGGCCCCTGTTTCAAAGACACTTGAGTGAAACGGTAAAGGGCAGTCCCTAAATCACTCTCAAGTCTAGACAGACTAGCAGGGCTGCTGGGGAGAAAACCAATCCACTCCAGTCTCAGATATCAGTGCTCCCTGCTGACCTGCTCCTGGGCTGATGTGCGGCAGGCAGTCCTTACAACTGGTCTCTATTACATGGGAGGACACAGTAGAGTGCCTAGTCCTGCCCCTTCAGCAACGCCCAGTCCCAGTATAGGGCTCTCATGACTACGGCTGCAGGCAAGCATGGTCCACTTCCCCAGACATGGGTTTTGAAGCGCCAGGCAGATTGAAAACCAAGAGGATCCCCCTGCAGAGTCCCTTTTCCAAGCAGGCCACGCTGCCATCCTCCCTCCTGCTGGGTCCCCTTGCCAGCATTTGGTCCTTTCCTGGCATCCTGAACAGGTGGGTGACCCTGCCCTCTCCAGAGTGACCTTTGCCCCTGCCCCAGGCAGCAGGCTCCAGCTGCAGGCCAGCCCCTCGATGCCCCGAGAGCCTGTGTGGATATTCAGAGGGAGAAAGGGGGTGCACCTGGGCTGGTCTGTGCGCTCTAGGGAAGACATCTAGGCCACTGCAGTCGAGATGCCGGGTCACTGTGCAACCTGAAAGCTGCTCAACACACAGCTCCCACTTCCAGTTCACTATTCTCTTGCGCTTGACACACGAGTAGAGCTGCCTTCCACTGTGGCTCTCCCAAAACGGAGCCCTGCGGTGCAGAAAGGGAAGGCAGGCGAGAAGAGGGTTCTGCATACCCCACCCATGCTCTGCCAACCAACGAGCTCTGGGGATGGGCCAAACATGTGTCTCATCCTGCCCCTGAGATTCTCTTAAAGATGAAACCCTGTGCCCTTCCCCACTGCATAAGATGGGCTGGTCCAAAGCTCTGGATACATAGACAGGATGGGGCAGCCTAGGAGCCAGATAAACCTAAGGACAGGTGGAGGGCGAGCATGTAGGACTCCCTGCCTAGTGCTTGGTTTATTATTCCATGACTCTTGGCCAGCTGCATTTAAAGGAGCCCAAAGCATTTGCTGATCCCACCGCATGAAGCCCTCATGGGGAGACATGGGAGGGCAGGAGCCCCGCTCTTCAGGGCCTCCTGCAAAGTGTGGGGCTGGACTCAACTCCAGTTGCCTGCTCCAGTGCGTGTGCTATTCCTGCTACATCAGACATGTAAGGGGGAAGGGCAGGCACCATCCTGTTTCCAGGACCGGCCCGAGCACAGGGGTCAGGATTTGAGTTTCTTCTCCCTTGATTGCCTGTAACTGATGCACCATCTCCTTCACTGCATTTATGGTGAAGATCACAGAAGACCAAATATCAAGTCCCCCAACACAGGTTTTTTCGTCAAAGTGGCAAATTAGGAGGGACAGAGAAACTTCCTTCCCCTTTCTCCAATCTTCAAAGACTTCTCAACTAGCCAATTTTTCCTCAGTGAATTTCAGAATTCAGTATTGCCCCAAAACACTTCATTTCCCAACAATGGGTCTGCTGACCTCAAGCTTGCAGAGGGGCTGAGATCCAGGAAAAGCAACCAGTCTGGGCAGTAGCCTGTCCCCTACTGATCCCTCATTGAGCAAGAGAAGGGACGATGACTGGTACCAGAATTCCAGGAATGGAATGACAAGAGATTGTTCTAGCAAAGAAATTTAAGGACATGAGACGCTCCTCCCACTGTTTCTCTAACCACACAAGCAAAACACCACATTTCCAACTTTGTCAGGACATGAAACACTTTGAGGGGCTCTGTCTAGGACTGAGGGATCCCACCCCAAACTCTAGAGAGGCAGGAACCCCTTAATCTGGAAAGAAAAGGTGGGATCTTGCTTTTTTCCCCTCTAGAATGAGGCTGAACTGTCCCAAGGTAACAGAAAGCAAGCCGGGTCACAGAAGCCTGTCACTACAAAGTGAAAACTTGGTGGCACCAAGCTGATGTTTTTAGTGTCACAGGATGAGATGAGTCGGGTGTCACTGGGACACCTGATCACAGGTGAACACCCAGGACTGGGAATCTGTTCACGGAGGAGGCTGCGTGTGAGGCAGGGGTGGGGGCTCAAGGTGCCAGCCCTGGTGGTCCCCCTTTGGGGGCACACCTGACACCTAGATGGGGCAGCATCGCTGGGGTACAGGAGTGTCTGAAAGGAGACTAACAAGAGGTCTCTCCTGCTGGACTAGCAGGTGAGCCCAGATGGTGGTGGGGGACCATAACCTATTAAGTGACGGGAGGGGGGGATGTGGGGGTGGTGTCCCTCCCATAAACTGCCTCAGGGGACAGACTGTGGCGGGGTCGGGCGGGGCGGGGCGGGGCGGGGCGGGGCAGGGGTCCCTGGCAGACTTGGGCACCCCCACCTCCACCCCCCAGGACCACGCGGAAGCCCGTGGGCGGGCTCACCTCTGTGGCGGGTCGCGAGGGCTCCCTGGGGCTGGGCTGCGTCACTGGCGCCCCAGAGCTACAGCCTCTGACGCTGGACCTCAGGAGCCGGCGGATCATCCGGAACAGGGGTTGCGCTGCCATCAGGCCGCATGTGGGAGGTCCTAGCGGTCCTGACCTCTGAGCTCACTAGCGCGGGACTTGCAGGACCTTCTTGGCTTGGCGGGGCGGGGAAGGGGCGGAACAAGCGCAGCGAATCAGCAAGCGTGTCGTGCGCGCGGCCTTCTGGGAGCTGTAGTCCAATCCGTTCCTCCCTCTTTTCTGCCTGGACAGGTTCCACAGGAAGTGTCCATCCAGGAAAAGCCAGTACAGAGTGCTGTAAGCAGGCCAGGACTAGGGCCAGGAGAATGAGCACTACTTGGGGAAACAGGAAAATAGTTAAGATTAAAAAATATTTCAGTGCATTAGTTCAAAAATTAAAATCTATGCCCTTCCCCCTCCAAATCACAAAGTATCAGAAATTTCAATGCAAACAAGATCGGCCTTGCATTTACACCAGTTCAACTGACTTTACCTTAATCCAGGCCATGGTTGTAAGAATCAGCTCCTTCTTTTAGGATGTGCATCTTCAATTGTGTCCCAAAGAGAACTAACAAAACAGAAGGGATGGGTTTCACTTTCAAAATACTTCCTGGGATTTCATTTTGCAACTGAGAAAAATGAGGCTCAGAGAAGCTAGATGATTTGCCCAAGGTCACATAGTCGACAGGAATCAAAACTTTCAAATCCAGAATAATCTGATTCCTACAATTGTACAGTCAAATTCAGTGTTTGGCAAAGGATAAGGATCTACCTTCCTCTGAAAAATAGAGCTGTAGTCTTCAAGATTTTGGATAGTAATACACATTCAATAATGAAGTCGATCATTATGCTGAAACCATTATGCTTATTTTATCCAAAACTTGACTTAGAATTCTGAAAAATCAGACAGCAGAACAGAGTGACTGTCAAAGATACAGATTTGCTGCATATTTGGGCTCCTAATCTTGAAGAATTAACAGATTTAAGGGAAAAGGCTAAATGCTTAAAATAGACTTTTAACAAATGTGATGAGACTAGGAGGTTGGGGGTAATTCTAGCTTTAGATTTAGCTGTTTATCATGGTACTAACTCAGAAGTGCAGACCACACATTGTGGAAGGTGAAGGTATAGCAGGGTATGTTGGAAACTGGTGAGACAGGTCTGGCAAAAATCTACGTGCAAGGGGCCGAAGACCCAGCAAGAGCTGCTCAAATTCTGTGCACTGCTTAGTTTAGGTGCGTCTGGAATGTCAGGAGAACTAGATACAGAGCAAGGAGAATGACAACCACTTATTTGCAGACCTGAGACTTGAAGAGCCTCAGGGAAGAAGCTGTCTTTGTATTCACAGACCACTTGGATAAGTCAGATGAATGTTTCATCATGCATCATTTTTTGGGGTAAGAAAGACAGGGAATGGGTGGTGGGGTAATGAGCAGCATATTCTAGCTGGCCAGGCCAAGCACTAGAGGTAATTAAAGTGCATTAAATCTTTGAAACAACTGTATAGGCTATCTTGTGTCTTCCAAAGACAACTCCCACTCTTTGAACCCATCCAGAAACGCTACCAGCTGTACTAGCTGCACGAAAACTATCTAGATTCCACCATCTGTATCCAAACTGTATGTAATAGGCCCAAGTGAAGGACCATGCTATTGCTTTTTCATAGAACCTTGTAGCTCCAGAGCGGGACAGGACCTTAGCACACTCAGGTTAGCTTGTAAGATTAAACCTTATCTATATTATTCAATTTTACTTAGACACCTTTAGTGCTGGGAGACTTACAGCATTCCTGATAGTCTATTAAATGCTTCCTGGCCCATAAAATCTTATTTGTATTGAGCAAAATGTGCCTCATTTTTTCAATACATGTTGTTGATTATCATCAAGGCCAGGCATTTTGATTACCAAGAAAGGCACAAAATTTCCTTTAGAGAACTGTTTCAGAGATTTAGCACACCATAATTACTGGTAGTGATCTGGTCCCAGCTTCGCTGGTAGATATTTTTCTCATTATCCCAGCCATTCCTGATCCTTCTTTCACCATTTGTCTCCCATCTCTTGCCTTCTACAAATGACTCACGATGGACATTAGTTGCAATGGCTGGGGAAATGGAAACACCTTCAAGAGCTGACAGCCTAGAGAAGGGCCCTAAAGAGTCCATGCATAGATTTTTTTGGAGGGAGTTTCTGTATACCCCTGAAACAAAATACATAGCAGTATATGTATGCATTTGTCTAAGGAGAGGTGGCTTTTATCCCATGCTCAAAGACCTTTGACCCAAAAAAGATGGCATCTCTGGGTATAGAAATCATCCTTCTGCGATTCCCTTCTGTTGGACCTACTTCTGGTCCTCAGAGCTGTCTGTATGACCTGTCATTTGCCAGCCTTCAGTGCTTGTGTGGAGAACCACTCAGATTGCTTCCAAGCTCGGGCGTCTAAGGACAACTGAGGATGTGACCCCGCTTGTCTACTAGCGCAGATGCAGTTATGTAACCATGACTCAGCACAGGTAAACAGGCATGCGCTGGTTACACCACGATACAAGAATGTAAACATGAAATAACAACTTGTATGAGAATTACAGGAGAAAGCCCCAGGCTGCTCTTGCGCTCTGCTCCACACTGCCTGCCATTGCCGAGGCCTTACATGTGTGCCTTCTTTTACCTGGAGACCTCACCTGCAAATATCTCTCTCAAGCCCCCCCAGTGGGCTGACAACTGTGAGACAACAGTAAACAGTTTTGGACAGCCTTTGTGCACAGTATTATGTGAGTTGCTGCACCATTGTGGTTCATCTTCCAGAGATTTCAGGGGCTTTTGTATGTGAGGCGCAGTGGTGGATCGTAGTTTTGCAGGAGGACAGTACAATGGCTCCTGCAAATGGCTCCTGTCTCACCTGCCGGACTAGAACCACACTGGCAGACAGAACCTTCTGCTGTGAGGGAACCATCCCAAGTCTCATGTGGCTGGTCAGCACTTAGAGTGCAGTTCCTTAGTCACACACATCACATTTAAGTTTCAAATTTTAATTCATGCGTAAAAAGCCACCTGTGGCTACCAGCTATGGGATTTAGTGCTGTCCTGGAACCTGGCTTTCTCCTAAAAGAGGCGGCATTCATTTCCACCTAGTTTCTGGGTGGGTTTGTAACTTGCTCATGACTAACCCAACAGGGTGACAGTACTGGACCACTTCTGGTGGTCAGACCCTAGGATGCAGCTTCTCCCTACACCTCTAGTGATCCGATTTCTGGCTGATCCATTCCTTCCCCCTATGCTGTGTTTCGTAACCCTCCAGAAAGGAGGTCAGGTCGCATGTTTGTGATCTCTCTTCTCTAACGGTTGACGTCTACCAGCTGTACATCCTGTATAACCCGGGTGCTCTTATCTTTGGTTTCCAGGTGGAGCTGCCTAGTAGGAGACATGGGCAGGACAGCAGGGAGCAGGAGCAGGCAGACAGGAAAGTCAGTGTTTCTCCTTATTCCTCCCTGTTTTGCTAACAATGCCTGAACCCTTCTACATCTATAGCTACAGTTATAGAATTCTTGTGCCATGATTCCAACTCACACTATGCCAGCAGCACCATCTCTAAACCTTCTTCCTTAGGACTGGAGTGGGTGGGATACACTCTCCTCTGGGGATCGTCACTCATCCCTGTTAACCCATTTTGCCTTAGCCATAGCTCAAAAATAGTCCCTTCAGCAGTGTCCCTTCATAAGCCCCAGGTGACTATGCCAGCTGCCTGGGACTCCAAGGGCTTTCTGCCTCCCTTGTGCCCATTGCTAATAGTCGGAAGAACAGAGCAATGTGGGTTATTTATGTGCCTTCTGACCTACACAGAGAGCTGGTCACACATCTAAGTCATCTGTAAAGCCTCGCACCTGGCACAGTGTTTAATGCACTGTGATCTCTCAATAAATGTGCATTAAATGGTAGATTCCATTTTCTTTTCTTGCCAAAACTACAACTGGTTGCTTTCTCATTTGTGCTACGTGCCCGACAAGGGTCAGCTGGGAGCTCTTTCCCGTCAGTGCTGGCCTGGGGCACCAAGCTGACAGGGAAGCTAATGCTTACTTACTTGAAACACTCGTGGTTGCCAGCGAGGAAAAGTGTAGCAAAGAACAATCTGGCCCATAGACTTCTTCCTGGAAGCACCTGCCACACAGCTCCTTGCTCAAAGCACAAGTGGAGGGGCTGGGGATTTAGCTCAGCGGCATAAGCACCTGCCTTGCAAGCAGGCAGTCGTGAGTTCGATCCCTGGTACCAATAAAAACGAAAAAGACAAAAAAAAAAAAAATAAAAAAAAGCACAAGTGGCCAAGTTTGATTACAAAGGGAAGTAGCAGCTTGGTCGTCTTGCAGAGTGGGGAAGTCATTATTGGTGCATGCTAAAATTACCTTCACTGTAATACACCATGCAGCCTTTCCCCCTTGATAGGTCTTCAATTTATCCCTTCTTGTCGCACTCATCACACCAAATCCAGCACGGTGTCCTTGTGCATCCGTGTTAGTCATGATCCGGAGCTACAAGGTGCTGATGTCAGTTTCTCTTTCTTTGAGCCTATCATCAATAAATTTAAGAAGAGCCTTTGTAATGCCTCCTTAATCCAAAACCTCTCAAACTGGATTTCCAAGGTCAATACTATTTTCATAATGCTGAGATATCATTTGCCTTCCCACATTCTTGCCCTCATAACTGTACAAGGGAATTTTCTACAAGTCACACAATGGGTCACATGATGGGTCACAGTCTGAGAGGCTGCATGCAAAGGCAGAGATGAGAATCCAGCTGCTTTCTGCTAAGCCAGACATTAAATAAGTTTACCAAAATGAAATATATTTTTCCTCCTAGTTTTGAAAAAGTCACTTCCATAAATTATGTTGTGTAATATTTTAAATGAGTATTTTAAACATTTCTCAGTATTTTTAATATAACTAAATACAGAAAGTATGTTTTGAGATACTTATTGTATAACATGGTGCCATAGGCAGTAATAATGTACTGTATTATTGAATGTTTGCTAAGAAGTTTGAAGTGTTCTCACCACAAAAAAGTATGACTATAATTTGCTTAATTTATCCAGTCCACAATATAAATTTCTTTTCTCAGAGTCCACATTATTACACAATATAAATTTCAAAA